TATATATATATATATATATATATATATATATAGTCTATAATAGACATAGGACTGTGTTAAATGGCACCACAAGGATGTTATAGGTAAATTGAGACTGTGAGAGACTTTATAAGACAACTGACTGATTTCTTTACTTAGTAACAAGAATGGAGATGGAAGAGGACCTATAGATAAAAAGACATGTAATGGGCATATCTACCAGTTTTAACATATGGACCTTATTTGGATATATGATTCAAACAAGCAAGCAAAATAAAAATGTTCAAGATAATCAAGGGGTGAATGAATGAATGAACAAATGAATAAAATGATACAGCACTGTCACTCCAGAGAGGAGAAGAGAGACCCCTTCCTGGGCAAGGATGCCTTGGGGCTCCCTCCCAGGCAACCACTTTGCCCCAGAACAGCCCTGCTGTGCCTCTGCTGCCCCTGTGTGGCCGGCAGAAGGCCTGACACTGGAGCCCCTGGACAAAATGGAACCTGGACACAATCTCCAAGGTCATCTTTGATAGATTCCTCTCTCCCTTTCACCAATTCACAGCCAGGATTTGCCCCACTCATAAACTTCCGTGGGATTTGTCCCATTCATGAACTTCCATGGGCTTCCATGGCAGCAAGTGCCAGGACAGGTACCAGGAACTCCAACCTGCTCAGGATTCTAAAGAGATGGCTACAGGCTCTGGCTGGGAGAGCAAGATCCAGACAACCAGAAAAGCCTCAGGAAACCCCCCTGACAGGAGTGAAGGTGGAGATTAGAAAAGGTGAAGCCTCAGGAGGCTAATGGCCAAAGGGGAGCAGTGAAACCAGAATCCTACAGTGGTATCTGAAACCAGCTCCTTCGCCCCAGGAGACCAAGGGAATGCCACACCAAGCTGTTGACGTTTCCCCCCTGAAGGTAGTCTGTCTACAGCGCTCGAGGTGAACTGCCCTTGACCTGCTACCTGAGCACATGTTCCCAGAAATGCAGAGGGAAACTAAGTGGGATCCCAATGTCCAATATGCCCACTGATGGTAGTCTTAACTTATAAGTGCATTAGCTTGCTGTTTGAGCAACAATAGTGGGAAAATACAGGATATGGAGGTCAAATTCAATGTCATTATCAACACAAAAAGAGATTTAACCTGATCCCTTAACATTTGCAAAATTGTTATTAGGCATTCATGTTGACCCTTAAGAGGGTTAATTAATATTTTCTTACCCAAAAGCCCATTTTTCTCTGCTTGATTTGTTGGATCTATAACACTAAGGGTGACAGGATTCCCTGACTAAAGCATACTTTAATTTTCAGAGCATAGGCATGCACCAAGTACGCACACAAAGACACACATTCTGGATGAAACTCCCAGACAGCCAGTTTCTGTATCCTGTACCTTAACCCCGTTCCTATCCCTTAACCACTTGCATATGACCCAGAGTTAAAGCTCAATATGCTCTTCCCATATTGATGCTCCAAACTGCCTGCATTCAAATGTAACTCTAGCATTTCCTGTGTGACGTTGGACAAATCACCTAACCTTTCTGAGTCTCAGTTACTGCCTCTATGTAATGGGGATAATAATAGTACCACTTCACAGGACTAAATGAGGTAATATCTGTAAAGTGCTTAAAACAGCACCTGGCACAGCAAGCACTAGAGGAATTCATTAACTCAGTCCCATAGTTATCTTTTCAAAATGGGTTTGAAATGCAATTCATTAATTTTTTAAAACTAATCTTAAAAAACAATTTTTTTCTCTTTTTTTAACTAATGAACACCATTTACTATTACAATTAGGTGACAATGAAGTGGCCAGGGCTTCCTTGTCCATCTCTAAAGTCTGGTGTCATTTTTAGGAGAATCAGACTTACTGACTTTATTCTCCTCCCAGCCTTTTTATTAACCCCCTTATAATAGTCCTTGTCATGACCAGCCTTTTCAACAAACTTATATCATCTAGAAAAGTAAAGAACACGCATGTGTGTGTGCAAGTATGTGTGTGCCTGTGTGCGCATGAGAATGTATGTGCATGTATGTATGTGTGCATGCATATGAGGGTGTATGTTCATGAGTGTGTGAGCATGCGTGTGCATGTGTGACAGGAACAGGCGGGCGGAGTTCAGCTGTCCTGAGCGCCCTGGCACAACTATACTTTCAGTGTGATCTCCTTCACTTGTCTTCCATCACTGGCCCTGGATTCTGCCCTCATCGTTCCCCACTTTCCATTAGGCAGCTCAGTTAGCTCTCACCCCAGTGACACTTACCTATTGGTGTTCTCCAGAACCTCCACCTTCTTCCGAAGCTCTAAGTTCTCAGTTGAACAAGACTCCACCCTACAGAGGAGAGAGAAAGAAGAAAGTTAGCTATTATCAGTAGAGTGAATGTTAAACCAGGAGCTAAAGATGGATTTAAGTGAGATTAAAGAAATAAGGAAAATCTGCTATTCCAGGGAGGTGAGGGAAAGAGCCTGACCAGTGTGAGTTCGAAAGAACGGTAAAGAAACAAAAGAAAAAAAAAAATAGAGGGAGCTGAGTGACAAGTGCCTCCATAATGGGAGATGAGTAGGGACTGTACAAAGCATAAACCTCTTTTAGGGTGTCACAACCTTGCTTCTCTCTCAGACTCTTCCCTACTGTTCTCAGTGCCCATCAGACTTTTCCCTCTGTGCTACATGGATTCAGATGCTATCAGCTGTACTCTTGGCCAGCAGGACTGATAAGAAGCCATGGGGCTTGGGTGGGGGAAAAGAGAACAAAAACCCAGGAGCTCAAGACAAAGAATGCATGTCCCAAAGAGGCAGTACAGAGATTTTCATAGAAAAAGCTGGACCCTGGGTACCTGTGGAAAATGATAGAGCAGAATGGGACTACTTAATGCTAAATTAGCAATACTTAAATCTGGTGACCGAACCACTAAACTTTCAAAAGGAATGTCTAGAATCAGCCAGAATCCACTGACCACTCCTTTCCCGGTTAGACATGAATGCTCGTTTCTGGGTCTGGGGCCGCATTCCCAGGTTTAAATGATATTAGTCTGTCAGCTGGAGAACTATTTTATAGGGCTAATATGAAATTGTACTTAATTCATATTTTTCTGACAGTCCTCCTGATGTTCCAGGCTTTTCAAGAGAACAAAGGGTGCCTTCAAGTGTTCTGTAAGTCACTCACCTATCGAGTGAATTGCAGTGGACAGAAAATGCAGAGCACCAGTTAGACTCATTTCACTCAGCGTGTGCTCTCTCCGGGGCGTGAGGGAGTGTGCCAGGGGGACTGATTAAGTGGCACTGCTCCTTTGGGCCGAAACAGTGCCTCTCCTCCGAGGAGTTGCAGGAATGTTAATATTTACACTTGTTTGAAAGGAAGCCTCCAAGGACTCGGGGATCCTTGGCTGCAAATGGTGTGGTTCAAACGCCTACTGACTGAGTGTACTTACAAACTTGCCCCCAAATAACCAGTAGGTGGCAGGCAAAATACAGCTGATAAATCTACAGGCTTTCAAGGTGTCCAGAAAGAATTTCCATGCTTCTCACAGATTCTTAGCACACTCACATTGCTCTATGTATACTGCCCAATGAACACAACCGGTTTGTCAGGAGGCTTACTTTTTCTCCAAGCTGTCCATGTATTCTTTCTTCTTCCTTCTACTTTCCTGGGCAGAAATCTGAGAGATAAAGTGGGGCGGGGGGGATTAATTTGCAGCTCTGCAAGTAAACCAGTGACATGTAAACGGAAGACAGGAAGCCCTTAGCACAGAAACCACCAAAGCCCTGCTCACCTTTGTGGCTGCTTGCTGTGTGTTTAGCCTCCATGCTCACCTACTAATCACCTCTTCTGTTCTCCCTGGTTTCAACCAGATGAGGCTCCCACCTACTTCCCAACAAACTGGGCCCTCAGTGGAAAGGACACTGGACCAGGAGCCATAACAGAACACGTGGGTCCAAACCATCAGTGTGGTCTCAGATAAGTGATTTTAACATTCTGGACCTCAGTCGGGCTTGGTCTTGTATGAGGGGTCTTCAAAAAGTTCATGGAAATACTCATACTATCTTTCACTCTATTTTTTCTACAAACTTGTAAAAATACCCTTGTATAGTGCAGCGTAATAACTACGTTCTTGCCGTCTGTCTATCTGTGATCTGTGTCTTCTCTCTCCTGCTCTGCCTGTGTCTGAGCCATGCCCCTGGGCCTCCCCAGCCGTGCTCAGCACTGGAGGGGCCTAGGAGAGGAGACTGCTGAGCCCAGATAGAGACCAGTGGACTGCAGATTTCTTTTTATCACAAACTCCTATTAAGAAAAAAAATTCAGGACCGGCTCCGTGGCGCACTCGGGAGAGTGCGGCGCTGGGAGCACGGCGATGCTCCCGCCACGGGTTCGGATCCTATATAGGACTGGCCGGTGCGCTCACTGGCTGAGTGCGGCGCGGGCAACACCAAGCCAAGGGTTGCGATCCCCTTACCGGTCACGAAAAAAGACAAAAAAAAAAAAAAGAAAGAAAAAAAATTCAAGCAAGCACCCTGAATATGCTTATATTTATTTATAAATTATGTGCACATGTACTAGAGGAAAATATTGTATACACCATAAAACTGAAATTTAAAAGGCACCAATAAAAAACAATACACGTTAATGGAAGTTCTAAGGTCTTCTTCCCACCCCTGAATAGACTGTCTTGGCACCAAGGATTCCCACTCTGACTTGGGAATCCACTGGCCTAGGGTTGGATGAAAGGGGCTGGAAGATGGGGCAAGTGGTCAGTCTGCTCCTCCCCTGAGCCCAAGGGAAGAAAAGGGCTGCGCCTTGGTCCCCACAGTGGGACAGGTCAGTGTTGGCCGTGGGAAGGCAGGCAGGACATGCGGGCTCAATTCTGTTCTCTGTTTCTGCTCACTGAAGTGCTCACCTTATTCTTGATTTTCCTCCGGATTTTCTTCAGGGCCTTCTCCTCTGATTTTGTTAGGGGCAATTTGGTGGGGATGGGATAGCCCTCAGCAATCAGAGTCCGCTTCTCCTCCTCTGTCAGGACCAATGGGCCTGACCCCTGCAGTTTCTGCACGGACCAAGGAGCAGAAAAGGGTCAAAGAAGAGTAACTGGGCACAATGAAGAATCACCTCCAGACTCCACGGTGAGGAGAGTCTGTACTAACGTCTTACAGATGGCTCATAAGAAAGGCCTCCCATCTGCTTTGGGTGAGAATGGGTAGTTTGAAGTGTAAGCAGGACAGAAAGACACTCCCATGTGGGTGGTATAACCCAAGGATTATAATTAAAGGGAAAAGTTAAAGGAGCCTCCACCCATCATACCCCAGGAAGCACCCCACTAGCTAACATGTCAAAAGCAAAAGGAATCCCTGGAGGTTTCCGGGCCTTGGAGTGATGAAGGATTCACTGGGAGTTCTGCTTTGTAAACAGCACGTTTCGTTGTTCTCCTTCTGAAAATGCAATTTGCTAACTTGCTTTCTATACACCAGGAGCTTCTCACCTTCACTGAACAGCTAAGGAGCCAAGGCTCCCGGAGATACACCTGCAGGCACCTTCTATGGAAGTCTCTGGTGTCAGTAGTCCCAGGCTGTCCATCAGCAGTGAGGATGAGAGCTGTAGCTCATCTCACGTACCCCACAATAGATGACACGTTTATAATTAGTCAAGCTGAGTCCCTACCATGTAACGTCTCTGTGCTACATCCCACAGAGGACTCAAAACGAACCCCATCCCGAAGTAGCTTATAATCGAGACCGCAAGACCAGATTGATACCCATGAAAGGAGGAGAGTAATTAAATGATAAACTGCAATATTACCTGAAGGCGCATTAAAAATTTGGGAAAAGAACATGTATATAAGTTTGTGTGACAAGGGAAGGCTTGGGGAAGGAAATAAGACTTAAACTGGACCTCCTAAAAGAAAGGAGATGATTTACACAAGAGAGAAGAGGGCATTCCAAGCCAGAGGTAGTATTTTGAAAAGAAATTGGAGATGCCACTCTGCCTAGAGAGGGTGAAGAGTTCATGAAGCAGCAGAGGGTAGGAAACACAACATGGTTGTTGGGCAAAGGCATGGCATGGGGAAGATTTCCTCCATAAACACGTAGAGAGGACTGAGCACGGTAGGACACAGATGTGTAGAATGAAAGCTATTCAGTAATCCCAGGAGAGAGAAGTCAGGTTCAAACTGAGAAGGTGAAGGAGTGGAAAGAGTTAATTTCCTTGTCCTCAGTAATGGTGAGGTAGAAGAATGTGGCTACAGATCTAGAACTTTCTGGGACAGAACGAAGCCAAACTCTCAAAGTTACATTAATTGATTTAACGTCTCTGTGCTACATCCCACAGAGGACTCAAAACGAACCCCATCCCGAAGTAGCTTATGATCGAGACCGCAAGACCAGATTGATACCCATGAAAGGAGGAGAGTAATTAAATGATAAACTGCAATATTACCTGAAGGCGCATTAAAAATTTGGGAAAAGAACATGTATATAAGTTTGTGTGACAAGGGAAGGCTTGGGGAAGGAAATAAGANAAAAAAAGGGTTAAGCCATGTCTGGGGACTTTAGGCATCAAAGAATTTAACTCAGAGATTTTTAAGTTCGCCAAAGGCTGCTTATTTAAAATATAGAAGATATTTCCTGTTGTTGACCATAAAGACCACCTAAATAATGGTAAATATTTATGGCCTAATTCTGTAGAGGAAAAAACCAAAATATTTATTCCTCATGCTTATAGCCCTGTGAAGTAAACATGAATAAAAACTAGCAGTGTGCAGGGGGAGAACTGTGTAGCAAGATAAGATTTATGGGCTGTTCTTTAAAATGTTCTTTAAGGTTGTTATCCTCCTGCTTTGGCCACTAAACAGGAACTTCTTTGCAAGAGTAAAAATCAAACAGCCTTGATAAAGCCCCACATGACAAAATGGAGAAGGTTCCAGAAATGCCCACCCCACACTTACATGAGGCGCTGTGAGGAGAGGAGAGCTGGACAGGGCAGAGGGGGCCCGGGGCGCGGCTCTGGCGGGGCTGTGGGTCTGAGGCAGGCCGAAGGGGTGCAGGCGAGGGTTGGGGCTCAGGCTGCCCTCTGAGTCACTGCCGTGGCTGCTAGGAGGGGTTGGCGGTAAGTGCAGGTGGTCCACGGAGGCTGAAGAAAGAAAGCACATTTCATCCATCACAGAGCAACAGAGCAGGACTTGGTGCTGAGAAAACAAACTATGTACATCCACACAGTGAACTCAGAGCAGCCCAACCAAGAATGAGGAATCTCCACGAGCTGACATGGAGGGACCACCAAGATATATGGTTAAGTGTGGAGGGGAGAGGGAAGCCAGGTGCAGAACAGTGCACACAGTCATCGTCCTTTTGTAGGAAAAGGAAGACAATATAGACTCCTGTTTGCTTGGATTGGCATAAAGAAACACTGCAAGTTTGTACAAGAAACCATGAAAATGTGACCCACGGTGGGTAGAGAGAAATTAGGATAGATCATGAAAGGGTGATGATGACAAGACTTCATTGTATTCTTTCTAGACACTTTACTACATTTGACTTGTAAACCATGCTAATGCATTCTTCACTTTAAATTTTTTTTTTTTTTTTTTAAATAGCAAAGTCAGGGAGCCCATGAGTGTTCCCAATAGCTGCTTGGAAAAAAGCTCATTTGTTCCTAGAGGAATATGCATGGTCGGGCCCCCAGGCAAGATGCCAGCATTCTTCATTCAGGAAATATGAAATTCATCTTTACACAGACAGACGGGTATGGGGGAAGTAGGTGGGGTGCAGGGGAGCTTTCTCCTCTAACTCCCCCAGCACGTAAAAGTCCACCCTGCACCTTCCCTCGGGGAGGCACAACACACACTGTGCCAGGGCTTGTGGAGCCTGAGTCGGTGTCCATCGGGCACCTCCAGGGCAGCAGGGATGGGTTTCTGAAAGAAAAATCCAGCCTAGGTTGAACCTGAGCAAGGGCACTCTCAGGTCCCACTCCTTTTTCTGAACAGTGGATATTTCTGCTGTGCCAGCAACTGTTCCTCAGCCAAGGGAGATGGCTTCAGGTAAGCCCTTCTCCCCAAACCCCTCCTGGCACCCCCAGGACAATAGAGCCCTTAGTCTAGCAGCCCTGCACTGGGCATGGCACCTGGGTCTGGGTGAGCTCAGCCAGAGAACTGCTGGGGGCCACAGTGTTGCCTCAGCACGTCTTTTCCTCTTCCCTCCAAATGGAGACCCCTGAGGTTCTACTGATGGGAGGGGCCTTCCTGAGATAAATGACCCACCCATATTGCCCCTACAGACGACAAGCAGCAAACAGGCAGCTCTCTCCTAAAATACTGAGGTGACAACTGGTGACATCCTCTCAGTCACACTCCCTTCCCCACCCCCCACCCCCAATCCCTAGCACACTTTTCTTTCATCTCTTTCTCTCTCTCTTATTCTCATTTTCTCTTTCTAACCCTTCTCTTTTTCCAACATGCCACCTTTCTCTAGATGCCTTCTCTTTCCCTTTTTCTCTGCCAAAGTCTTTCCAAAGAGCTCCCTGGGCTTTGCAGTGTATATGGGCACTCTTAAAGCTAAAGAATATTCTAAATAACCCTATAGAATTTCCAATGCTCCTACTAATAGCTGCAGGCAGCTAAGGAGGGTCAGAATGTGCCTTAAATACATATGTGCTTGCCTAGAAAGTAGGAGTCATAACAGTGTTAACCAAGGTTTTTCCAGTGCCACAATGGCACTTCATGATTAAAAAAAAAACAAAAAAAAACAGGAAGCAGACTAAGCTATTAGGGGCTCCAGCATCTGCTTCACTGTGCTGTTACATTCTGAAAACCCAGCCAAGAGTACCTAGAGCTCCCCTGTTCCTTTTGCTTGGCATGGGCCAAATTATTTAAATGCTTTTCTTCTTTCCAAGCAGAGGGTACCCCACAAAAAATGGAAGTGGGATGACAGGAAAAGTGAGTGAGGCAAACTTGAATCTCGTCTTTCCTACCTATTGAGAGCTACTGATGTGGCCACAGATGCATCAGGATCAGATTTCTTAATATCATTTGAAATGCCACTCTTGGGTTACTGAGAGAGCTGGGGACAACATGCTACTTTGCTTAGAAGCTCTGATGCATCTGAGGATATTGAATTTCCTTCTGTTTATCCAGGATAATGAGGAGGGACTGCCATTTACTTCATTCATGAAACATTTCTCCTCCAGTGACCCCAGATTCTGAAACCACCATGGGATTCATTGTTGCGGTTATGGAAGTTTCTGAAGCATATTGCAACCTAAATTAAAAGAACAAGATGCATTCGATAGTAATAACTGGTGTCATAAAAATGAAATTACCTTAACCCAGTATATAAAGCTGAACAGCACTGATGTATTATCACTCAGTACAAAATAACAA